GGGGCGTGGGGTTCTCCGGTTTCTGTGGGCCTGGCCGCGACCGGCGGCGAACGATCAGGGATCAGGGCTCGTCGCTTTCGCCAGCCCTGTCCGGAGAAGGAATGACGCTTCCCTTCTCGTGGGTTGGGAGCCTCTCTTTGGGGAAAGCTTCCCCCGCGTTTCCCTTCAGCCCGTCCTCTTCTCTCACCTTTTCCTGAAGTGACTGCCGGCCTCTGGCATCGTGTCCTGCAGAATTTTTAGATGTCTTGTCCTTGCAGCGTGGTTGGACGTTGGATCCAGCCCATGGAGAAGCTGCCAGAGCACACGTCCAGGGAGTCTGCGTGTCTGTTCCCAGAGCAGGGGCCTGGAAAGAGGAAGGGCGAGGAGCTGACCTGGCTGGCTTCTCTTTGTCGTTTAGACAAAGTTTAGGCGGAGTTTGTCCTTCCAGCCACTGTCCCAGGTCAGATGGACATTATTAGCCTTACATGTGAAACTGTCCTGGTGCAACCGTACTGCTCTTTTCCTCCCTCCCTCTCTCCCTTCCTTCCTTCCTTCCAGTTGGAGTCTCACTGCATCTCCCAGGCTGGAGGGCAGTGGCAAGATCACCCAAGCCTCGACCTCCTGGGCTCAGGGGATCCTTCCATCTCAGCCTCCCCAGCTAGTAGCTGGGATTACAGGTACATGCCACCACGCCCGGCTAATTTCTTGTAGAGATGTGGTTTTGCTATGTTGCCCAGCCTGGTCTCAAACTCCTAGCCTCAAGCAATCCTCCTGCCTCAGCCTCGCAAAGTGCTGGGAATAGCCATCGTGCCTGGTCATTTCTTTTCTTTTCTTTTTTTTTGAGTTGGAGTCTCACTCTGTCACCCAGCCTGGAGTGCGGTGGCCGCTCCTGGCCACCGCAGCCTCGAGCTGCTGGGCTCCGGCGATCCTTCCACCTCAGCCTTCCAAGTAACTGGAACTACAGGCGCGCGCTACCACACCAGGCTAATTTTTTTTTTTTTCATTTATTGCAGAGATGAGTTCTCACCAAGTTGCCCAGGCGGGTCTCGAACCCACGGGCTCAGGCAATTCACTCACCTCAGCCTCCCAAGGCGCAGGATTACAGGCTGAGCCACCAAACCGGCTTCTTCTTCTTCTTTTTTTACCTGAAGCTTTATCATATGTAAATAAAGCCTGTAGCTAATGTTTCCTCTCTCACTGTGTGGAACAAACTGTCATTCCAGCTCATGTTCACTTGCTTGGCTTTTGGAGAAGTTTGGTAAATGTGTGAATAAATGAATGAATCCAGCTAATCCAGAGTGAACTCCTGCCTACGCCACCCTCACATTCCACTCTCCATCATTAGGGAAGATGCATTTTCTACCCAAGAGGTAAACTTCAAGAGGCTGCCTTATCTGTGGAGTTCATTAGGCAGGACGGCTACCTGCTGTTGGGAAATGAAGTTAAATTATTCATATCAACGTTTTTAGTTCATTCTGCCATCCCACTATTATCTGGTGTATGGCCATTTAAAGAAAATGAAGTTGGATTATTTAATTGGGGGACAAAGGTTTAGCTAATCCACATCATGGACTTTGAGATGGCTTATGTTTGAGGGATTTTCTTTCACATATTTAGTCTTCTAGTTATGTGTTCAGGCTAATATTTAACTTAACAAGTATTTATTGAGTTTTATTAAGAGATGCTGAGACTAAGTTGAAAGAAAACCCAATTGCTATCTACCCATGAACTTAGAATTGAGTTGGAAAAGTCAATTATGAAGACTGTGGGATGAAAGCAGTTTTTGTTTGTTTGTTTATTTGTTTTCTTTAATGTTTCACTCTGTTGCCCAGGCTGGAATACATTGGCACAATCACAGCTTACGACAGCCTTAAACTCCTGGGTTCAAGCGATCCTCCTGCTTCAACCTCCCGAGTAGCTGGAAGTACAGGCATACACCATTACACTCAGCTAATTTTTAAAGTTCTGTAGAGACGAGATCTTGTTATGTTGCTTAGTCTGGTCTCAAACCCCACAATTCTCCCGCCTCAGCCTCCCAAAGTGCTGGGATTACAGGCATGAGCCACCATCCCCAGTCAACAAAAGCAATGCTGAAGATCCCAGGGAAAGGTGGGAGAATCATTGTGAACTGGATATTGCCCCAGGATGCCTTAGAATGTCAGGGGTTTGGTCTTGAAAGAATTTCCAGTAAGAAAGGAATCAGGTTTTAGGTGAGGTGGGATA